AAATAGAACAAGCGGAAGATAACCAGACATAAGGTGTATATTCGTATCAACGTTTTGAATCAACATCAATCGACTGAATCAAGGCAATGAGTCAATTTACTAAGTGGGTTGCTCTCCTTTCTTCTAGAGTTACTTTGTACAGGGTAGTCCAAGTTCGACTTAACCTTCTGGCCGCACTGTAGTAGTAGTATTATATCACTTACTTATCGACTCCACCATATATTCACTTTTCAATTAAAATAAATTACAATCAAAAGTCAATGTCTGTCGTTGCCATGGAAATACCCATTTTAAAGTTTCCCATTAAAAGTTGGGTCAATCGATAGGGCCGCAGTTAGTAAATGCCTGAGATATTGATTGGTCTACTTCACGCACAGCCCTCAAATGGAGACCTGTACACGCTGGAAGCGAACCTGGCCAACAGGGCGCTGAGAGAGCTGACAGATGGCGCCGACAAGGATCCCATTACCAAGTTGCGTTTGCTCTGCCTGAGCCGCGGCGCAACAGGCATTTTGGGCATGGGCAGGTGAGTTTCATTTGATATCGTATTATGATTATTTTTTTTTTCTTTGACGGCAAGTTTGAGAAATTATTCAATTACTTGTTTAATGGGCAATTATTTAATTAGGGCTTTTCGCGCCATGGACGACGACGGCAGCAAGGCCCTGAACGAGGAGGAGTTCATCTCGGGCATTCGGGACATTGGCCTGGACGTGACAGACGACGAAATCAAGCAGATGTTTAACGCGTGAGTCTCCTGCCATCACCTCAATTTCAATGCCAAACTAATGTCTTTGCTCTAAAATTAGCTTCGACGAGGATGGCAGCGGCTCCATAAATATGACGGAGTTTCTGCTCAAGCTGCGCGTAAGTTGCTTCAGAGGAATTTCCTGTTAATTAATATAATGGAACTCTTGAAATCTTCGAAATTTGTGCTCTGCAGCCGCCCATGTCGCAGTCGCGCATATCGATAATCGATCAGGCTTTCAATAAAATGGACAAGAACGGCGATGGCGTCATCACCCTGGCCGACCTGAAGAACGTCTACTCGGTGAAGGAGCATCCCAAGTACCAGAGCGGCGAGATGACCGAGGATGAGATCCTCACGGAGTTTCTGCACAACTTTGAGGGCGGACGCGGCAATCTCGATGGCAAGGTGGGAGGGAGTCTTAGATAACAGCTATAGCTAAGCTGCGGCTAATCTGTATTCCATTGCAGATCACACGCGAGGAGTTCATCAATTACTATGCCACAATCAGCGCCTCGATTGACAACGATATGTACTTTGATCTGATGATGCGTCGCGCCTATGTCATGTGAAGCGCCCCTTGGGTATTGTTGTCTACATAGCTCTCAATCTCGAGTGTCTAATTAACGAATCTAACTAGTCTTTAGTCCTGCTCATGTTTAATTTATACACACACATACACGCACACTAATAAAATCTTGGTATTTTTTCCCACAACTGATATCCGACTCCAGTTGGCTGTAGTAGCAGTTGCAAGTCGAAAGTCTTTTGTTAGATATGCAAAGTAACAAGCGAAAAGTTTTGTCTAAACATTTGCTGCCTGCTCGTAGTCCTGCATGCATTTACGTCGGCCCCTGGAACCCCGGAGCTGCCGAGCCCGAGTCTGGCCCATAATCAAGCGGGTGCTGCCAAGACGACAATCATTGCAACAAACATGGTTAGTTGCTGAAGGAGAGTCGGAGAATTGTTGGGGAATTGTCAGCATTGGCAATGGCAATGTGTGTGTGAGTGTGTGTGTGAGTGTTTGCTGGTGTGCCAGGCATTTATCACACAGTTGTCACAGCAGGCGCTGAGAACGGTTTGAGCAGTCGAGCGATGGCAGCCTAAATGTATGCCTTAAATTATGCAGACACCAGCTGAGATTGTCGGCTGCGAAAGCCCCCCCCTGAAAAAAAAAAAAAACTGATTGCAGCCAACTCATACGAACCCCCCCCTGAAAAAAAAAAAAAAACGCAGCCAGTGAAGAAGGCCCAGCCCCCCCCGCAAAAAAAAAAAAAAATCGTCTACCCCTGCCCCACACAAACAGTCAAAAAAAAAAAAAAAAAARAAAACTCTCAACTGAGTTTTCGGCTAACAAAGTCGACTGCAATCGTCTTCACTGTAAATCAGAAAGTTACAAGTTTATAGCATGATTTCATTAAATTTTATTTACAGCCTGCAACATTTGCATTTGCAGTGCCACAACTTGGTCTGCCTCAACTGCTGCTGCCGCTGGCTCAATTCGTGTCTTCGTCTTTTCTCTTTATTATTTAACTTTAACTTTAGCTGCAAGTTAAAAATTTATCAACTTGTTTGCCATGTGAATTATGCTGCTTACGTTTCGCTGGCAAAGCAGAGAAAAACTGTTGCAATTCCCATTTACATATATCAAAAACTTGTTGTCAATTGCAACTGATTGTTGTTGTTGTTGCTGCTGCTGCTGCTGCTGTTATTGTTGGCCACATAAAACCAATTTCAATTAATTGCCTGCCACATGAGACTCGTCGTCGAGCTGTTTTATGCTCTTAAAACTCTTGAAAATGCCTTTTATTGGCTTTCAGTTTTCACACTTGGCTGCCTGAAGTGCTTGCCAAAAATCTCTATGTGTGTCTGTGTGTGTGGCAACAATATTTTGGTTTGTCAGTCAAACACACACACACACACACACACACACACACCAATACACATGCCAGTGCAATATTTGTGTAAATTATGTATCGCATTTGCAGCTGGGGAAAAATTGAAAATCTCAAAGAGCTGCCAGTCAGACATTGTCAATGTTTAAGCTAAGCCTTTCAAATTGATTGCAATTTCATATTCACAAATAAAGCAAAATGCCACAAAAAGAAACTAAGAATAGAGCAAGCAACGAAAAATTCTCTTTCTAAGGTCAAATAATTGCAGTTTGATTATGTCTACAATTTTGTAAATTTCGTTGTTCAAGGATAATCCTCGGCACGCCCAGCATTGTGTGAAATATATTTTCCGCCTCACTGTGCTTGCTACAAATCGTTGGTCGGTAGCGGAATGAAATGAATTTGGAATTTATTTATTTATTTTGCTGTGGATTACTGTGGGTAAACGAAGCAAAGTTATTCCTTGTAAACGGTTGAGTCATGGGTCAAATTTGCAATATTTTTTAATCTTTTACAGTGAATTGGCTATTTTAATTGGCTGCATGCTAAGTAGGCCAATAGGAATTAGAGTCGGCTATCGATTCTTCATTGAAATGCTATCGATCATTGACTGCCATTGATGCTCACCTGGAACATCGTCAACAGGTGATAGGTGACATAGCAGTAGTAGATAGTAGTAAATAATTAAAATGTATATTTTTATTTAATAACACTCAAATTTAAATAGAGCTAAAATACATTTGAAATGTGTAACTTATAAGTACAAGAGTGCATCTAGTTAACTAGACAGTTGACTATCGATACACATAGAGTGGACTATCGATACTTGCTTGAAATGCTATCGATAGCTTACTATGTTGTGCTATACTGCACTATATTATATAGTATCTATTGGAGGGATAGCACTAGATCACTTGAATTGATATCAGTCATTTAATATAGCGCCATTGATACGCAACTAGATCATCTAATGGAATAGATAGCAGCAGATGAATAATTAAAATCCAATTTAATTATTTAATAAATACTAATAAAATATAAATTTAATTAGAGCTCAACAATGTTTGTAATAGTATATAAATAGTATATGAATTAGAAAATTTATTGGAGGTGTCGACAACAGGCACTATGGCAAAGTATCAATAGCTATTCAATAGAGAATCGATAGTCAACCTTGGAGCTGATTATCGATAATTTAATCAACTAGAAAGTTAGCAAGAGGGCAAGAGAAAAATAAATAACATCGAAAATAATTTTTTTTTAAATGGAAATATTTATTTAATAATATTTAAATTTAATTAGAGCTAAAAAAAATTTTTTTTTTTTAAATATATACATATACATTTGTATGTATGCTGAACCAGCATATCCAACTCAGTCTATAAGCAAAGCACAAAAGTCAAATAAAATATTTATTTAAATCTCCATCAATCATTAACAACTGCTATTCCATCTAGTATCGTATAACTATCGCTGTAAAATCTCAATTAAATATGCTGTGCTATGTTTTATTTGGTCATTTGCTTTTGCAGCTGTCCATTTGTCGCTGGTCCTTTGGCTAAGTATAATTGCAGCAGGTCCTGGCGTGGCTGTCCTGGCTAAATAAGCGCAAATTGCGCCATTTCGATCGCATTAACTCACAAATTAGCTGCTAATTAATTGTGCATTAAAATATCGAACAATGCTATACAAATGGAATACATAAATTAAATGCAGCAGGAGTAGCAGGAGCAGCAGGGGTAGCAGAAGTACCAGCTGCTGGCTCACTGTTGTCCTTGTTTGTTATCCTTGGGCTGACCAAATGGATAAATTTGTCGCACACACTCGGCCACACACTGTGGCGACTTATGCATTATTTAAATCTAGTTAACACTTGCTATTCGTTGTTGATTGAAAAATGCCAACGAAACAAGAAGAGCCGAAGAAGCCCCAGGCGAGCCTCAATGAAAGGCCCACACATAAAGATGATAATAAAAGGCAGACACACTCGACTGGCCATGGGGCGCATCATTGAAGGAGTATTGAATAAATTTCAAAGAGAGAGAGAAAGAGAGAGTGAGTGTGAGTGAGTAAGTCAAAAATGGAGAGTCCTCTGTCCCTCTGTGTCCCCTCTGTGTAGGCATAGAGGCTGCAAAATATTTCAGTCACGTTTTAAATGTAAAAATCTCAATCACGTGATCGAAATGCGCGCATTCAAAATATGCACAAGCAAGCATCCAAAAAGTCAAGTAGACAGAGACACAGCTAGACAGAGACAGGGGGAGAGAGAGAGAGAGAGAGAAGGAGGGAGTGAGAGAGAGCACGACTGAACTAAAGTGTTCGGCCTGGTTTCTGGGCATTTGGCCAGCTGTAAATCGAAATGAAGCCCAAACCCGAAAATAAAATGTGGCTGCGGCTCTTAACAGGTACTTGCTGAATCGATGATTTAATGTCCCCTCATCTAATGATGATGATGACGCTGATGATGATGATTATGCTGCTGTTGATGTCGTTGCTTGTATTTGTGGCCAGCTGCTGGCTGGGCGTTCGCTCAAATTGCATAAAATATGCAAAAAGCTTAACAAACTGCGCGCATCGTTGATTGAAATATCGAAAAATCAAGCTCCATTTACAGCAGCACCTGCAATGCACACCTCACACACACACACACACACACACACAGACACATACATGCACACACACATGTCGAGTGCAATGGCAACTGCTGCACAATGCACGCTACAATTTCCGTTTCCGCGTATAATTTTCACACCTCAGTCTGATTGAATTGTTCGTCAGGTTCATCATTTGATTTTCCATTTTTCGTGCGCGCTCTGCGATTTTCTTTTATTTTCGAACAGAACATAATATGTTAATACGAGTGCACATTAAATGGCTGCCATCTGCCTGATTGCCGTCGCGTTTAATTGTCAGTTATTAATTCACCGAGCTTAATCGCCTGCAATTCCCCCTCGTCCACCGCCAACCTCCCCCCTCCCACACCCCTCACCTATTTATCAAATAATAACATATGCACTTCGGGCAGAGTAATTTCTATTTAATGGCCAGGCAGGGAATACGCCCCAACTGCAGAGCAAATAAATGCGAGGTATACTAAAAAAAAGAAGAGTGGGATTACAGTAAAAAGTTTGTAAATAAACGAATTTGTAATATTTATTTAGTATTTCGATTAATTGGATTTTAATGGATTGAATTTAATGGATTTTATACTTTATATTTTAT